ATGAGCTTAGGCAAGTGCCCAGGGTCATCGGGTGCTGTCTTCGGCCCTGTCTAGGAACCCACTCTCAATTGTAACTGCAATTTAAAATTTGTATATAAACGTTGTTTTCAAGTGTTGTAAGAATAATCAGAGGCTCAGCCAATGCAACTTAATTTTATTATGTTTCATGTACTTTATACTATTGATGAACTTTTATAACAAATCTGAATATTTTTCACTAAAAATGCCTTGCTTAACCAGGTCTAGAAGAACAAATACGTGCCCCCTAGATTGCCAACGTTTTGCATGGTGAATCCTCATGAGGGTCATCCCTACAGTTAATTAAAAGAGCAAGTAGATTCATCACTCACGTTAGCAATCTATTATTCCAAGTGTAATGCAGATGGGTAGGATCTACACTTATTCTCTTTATGCACTTTTTCTAGACTTGCATGGTTCTCTATACCACTGCTTATCACATTTGAAATTCTAGCTTAAAATAAAACATTTGTTGTTGATGTCGTACAGATTATGCTTTCTATGAGCCACCCTAAAGCTACTCTTGAAAATTTTATATTTTTGATGCGATGTATGCGGAAACCCATAGATAATAACCTTTTTGGCACAGAAACTAGGTTCTCCTGTATAGGTTCTTCACAAGAATAAGTCATTGCCTCAAGCCAGGACCTCCAAGATGGCACCGGGATCGATATTGAACAATTTTCAAGTTCAAGCTCCTCCTTAGATTCTAGCACATGGCATAACCATCAGATTTTTTTTATACTACTGATGTTAATTCATGCAACCTTGTCTCAACCTTACTCATGATATCACTTATTAGAATAACTAGATGATTCCCCGCGCGTTGCTGCGGGAAATATTGCTTAAAATTGTTGTTTTACTTAGCAAGCTAACTCTCCTAATAGGATGAACAAAATAGTGAACAAATTATCCTGCTTTGGCAACAACACTTTAGAATAATATACGTCATTGTAATGGTACATAAATAGGGTCAATCCTCCTAGTTATATCATTCAACTTTGGCAACAACACTTTAGAATAATACTCTCTCTGTAAAGAAATATAAGATCGTTTAGATTACATCATTGTAATGGCACATAAGTAAGGCCGATACTCCTAGTTATATCATTCAACTTCTGGATGGTAGACGAACAACCAGATTAGATTTAATATTACCCACGAAACTAACAAATTATTACAAAGTAATTTCATGAGACGTTCATATTCAGCAATACGGGATAGTAAGATCTTTGCAAATGTGATCCTTCAGAGGGAAGAACAGAAGTTCCATCTAGTGGATGATAGCACCGCCTTCCTCAATGGTTAAGTAACTTGCAGATAAAATCTAGGATTTTGCAGAAACACAAAGAAACAAATGTATCAGGGAACATTAGGACACATGTAGCACTTTTGCATACCTAAATTTGTTCTTTTCGGGATCTATGGTGTACCTAGATACCAGTTACAACAATATATTTGTGAAATTTGAGTAAAACTATGAAACCAGGGATCGCTTTCAGTGTGATTAAGAAAATAAATTGAACAAAAATAGCAAGGGGATGCTCAACAAAGTAAACTCCTTGTCATAAGAGACGATAATGATTATATTTTTTGTGCCTAAAGAGTTGTTTATGATTTTTAGAACAATGTTCTATGTTTCAGTGATTGGCTATCGACCATACAAATGATAAAACTGTAAAATAATCTTTTTATGAATCCATAGTACATGCTATTTAGCATAAATCTACATGGAACACAAACACATGGAAGTACAAAGGAACGGTTGTGAAATTTAAGCAATGAAAGGATGCACGCCATCATTATTTGCAGTAAGACATGTGAAAAACTCCCAAAAAGAATAAATTCTCATATACCTTCACATTGTTGAGTGTGAGGGAAGTAATCTGCAATAAGAAAAGTAAATTAGAAAAAAAATCAGAGTTAGACTTCACTAACTAAGCACTTGAAAATTGCATGAGTTATTATATCTATGCCTTAATCAAAGTAAATAAGTTGAAAATCAAAGTAAATAAGTTGGCATCTCAAAGAATAAAAGGTAAATAAATTTACTAACTAACCATATATAATCTCCTTTTTAGCATCTTCTTCATGACCTATAAGCTGCACATCATACTGAATCAAACAATGACGGCTTGATGTGTAAACATACTAATTGGCCCTCGTGTTTTTGCCATAACAATAGAAAAAATCCACTATGCAGCATTAAAAATTTGTATGAGGGTGAATCAGATAATCTAAGAAAATGGGATATGTACCGTCATTTTTTTATGATTAGGGCACTCAAACGTAAGCCCTATCACTGAAACTGAGTTGTGTGAGTTTTGCACCTATTGATGCGTACAATTTACCAGTATTGAATATGCCATGGTAGAAGAGAAGTAATCTGAACCACCAACATATGAAAATAAATTCTAACTACATGTTTACATTATGGCACCTATATATTGTATCAACACCAGTTTACCATCCATATCCGTTTTCCCAAGTATCGTATGAGTATGAAATGGAAATAGCTTTCGTTCTTTGCTCAAGGGTTTGACAAACAGGTCCTTGTTCTCTGGCAGCAGAAAATAAAAATTCAGAATGCCTCAGGTTGGAACTCACAAGAAGCAATGTGGCATAGCATGCGATAAACAAATAAAATAAAATTTGAGCCTCGAGGATACAGGTGGGCTTCTCACTGTTCGGAATCTAATGTCCGTCAACAACAGCCAGAGTTATGATATCCGCAGATCTGCAAGAACGAACCTACAGTAGAATTTAACCAATATATCATGATGTATTCCAAGCAAATAATTAGAGAAGTAAAAACAATTCCCTTGCATAACCAAACATTATTACTACTTCCACGCAATAGCCAAGCAACCAGGCAAGGAGAAACAATTCGGTTGCGTAACGAACCGGAATTACCACATCGAAGCAATGGCAAGGAGAATAACTTACAAACTGGAAGCAATAGTGTGAAGAAGGCCGCATCATGCTTCTCTCTCGCGCGCGCGTCGACACAGCCGTCGCCACAACTTGACCCTGGAGAAGCCGTCTTTTGACCTTGAGATGAACGCATCAAGCTCCCCTCTCATCTCCTGTCGACACAATCACCGCCATGATCCCTTGCCTTCTCTCTCCCACACAGCCTCCACATGCCCAATTCCTCTCGTGTCTCCCTCTCGAATCGCCTGAGTAGTAGCAAGCGCAAGGAGCCGAGCGGTGGACGGCGGAAGGGATAAGAAGCGGAGGCCGATTTGGCCAGGACTCGCGACCGTGGGAGGAGTCTCGCACTGGTGGCAGGCGAACCAAGAAGACGGAGCGGGGAGGCTGGACTGGATGGGAATTAAAGGAGGAAGGGAAAGTGGAAGGGGAACGGCTCAGGACGAAGGCATTGATGGTCTACTTTTGGGAGTGAGGAGCCGGAAGATGGAATCAATGCAGCGCGATGTAGCGCGGGGGTTGAACGCATGAGGCTGGTCATAGTCGGGAGTAACATATACTAGAGCATGCTTGGATACGTTTTAGTCCCATGACTAAAAGTAGTGGGACTAAAACTTGCTAGTCTCACCCATGCTTGGATCCAAATACTAAAGAGACTAAAATCTAGTTATTGAGCATTTATTATCCTCCAGACCCTCCAATCCAGAACTAAGGAGAGGAATTAAATGAGGAGAGAGAGAGCTAATACATATTTTAGTAGGTTTCCCATGACTAAAAGATTTTAGCCTCAAGACTAGTCCTAGCCTCTCTTTAGTCAGGGGTGCTTGGAACTTTAGCCTCTAAAAGAGACTATTTTTAGTCAGACTAAAAATAGTCAGACTATTTTTAGTCAGACTAAAAATAGTTACCGGAACATCACACACTCCAAGAAACAATGAGTCTATAACCTAATAAATACATTGTTGCATGACACTATATAGATGTTCCTACTCACTGTAGAGGTAGTAACATAGTCTAGGGAAGTGTGTAAGTTACTAGACTATGTTCTTGCCCACTGTGACCTTCAGCAGCCCTATTTTTAGTCTGACTAAAAATAGTCTCTTTTAGAGGCTAAAGTTCCAAGCACCCCTGACTAAAGAGAGGCTAGGACTAGTCTTGAGGCTAAAATCTTTTAGTCATGGGAAACCTACTAAAATATGTATTAGCTCTCTCTCTCTCTCCTCATTTAATTCCTCTCCTTAGTTCTGGATTGGAGAGTTTGAAGGATAATAAATGCTCAATAACTAGATTTTAGTCTCTTTAGTACTTGGATCCAAGCATGGGTGAGACTAGCAAGTTTTAGTCCCACTACTTTTAGTCATGGGACTAAAACGTATCCAAGCATGCTCCTACTAAAATATGTATTAGCCCTCTCTCTCCTCATTTAATTCATCTCCTTTAGCACATGCGAGTTCTGGATTGGATGGTTTGGAGGATAATAAATGCTCAATAACTTCATTTTAGTCTCTTTAGTATTTGGATCCAAGCATGGGTGAGGCTAGCAAGTTTTAGTCCCACTACTTTTAGTCATGGGACTAAAACGTATCCAAGCACTACTTTAGCTAGTTACCACAAGCACCTCTCTCTTCATTAAATATGTGACACATAAGCAAAGTTTTATTGGAGTGTGTGATGTTACTCCTAAGTTTCTCTCCATTGTGACCAGCCGAATGCAGATTGTGCAACTTCTGAGTCATGGAAGAACACATTAGAAAAACATCACACAGAAATGGTAAAACTGATGCTTTATTCGCATTCATCTGACACCTATCTACAAATTGAAGCCCGGGGCTTAAATTTAACCGAGACACATTTTGTCTTCCAAAAAGAAAGAAAGAAAAAACTTGCGACACGTCTAAACATACATAGAGCCTGATAGACACTTGGCAGTTGGATTACACTTGCAGCTCGGTGACCAATAAAACAACAAACGCATGAAGAAATATATAACCCTTTTTCACCATGTGGCGCGGGCGCGGGAATGGTGGCTTTGCTCGGCCCGATGGCCACACTCACATGACGATCTCGGGCTTGAGGATGCTGGACTTGATCTCTTTGTGCGGGAGCACGACGCCGCCGTTGCTATACACCTCGTCGCAGACGTGCACGTCCTCGCCGAGGATGGTCATGTTCTCCACGCGCGCCCACTTGCCCACCGTCGAGTGCCACCCCACGATGCTGCCGGAGATGCACGCGTGCTTCTTCACGCGGGCGCCCCGCATCACGGTGCACCTCGACAGCCGCACCCCGGCCTCCACCACGCACCCGGGCCCGACGGCCACGTCCGGCCCGATCAGGCACCCCTCCCCGATCGTCGCCGTCTCGTGCACCAGCACGTTGCCCAGCACGTGCGCGCCCGCCGCCAGCCTCGCCGGCGCCCGCTTCCTCAGGGACTCCAGGTAGAGGCGCAGCCCCGTGATGTAGTCCCTCGGCTGCCCGATGTCCATCCAGAACCCCGGCAGCACCATGGCGTACAGGCCCTTGTCGGCGGCGATGCGCGGGAACACCTCCTTCTCGATGGACGTCGGCTTCAGCTCGATGCGGTCCAGCACGGACGGGCTCAGCAGGTAGATGCCGGCGTTGATCTTGTTGCCCACGAACACCTTGGGCTTCTCCACGAACCGCTCCACCTTCCCGGTCTCCTCCTCCGTCACCACCACGCCGTACTTGGAAGGCTCGTCCACCTTTTTTCATATTAAAATCAAAGTAGCCACATCCATTTCTCAGCATATATATGGACGGACACCCAACCTTCAAGGTAAATTTTACTCGTCACTAGGCCTTGGTCACCACGTACCTTGGTGACCATGATCGTGGCCTCGCCGCCATGGGACTTGTGGAACTCGATGAGCTCTGCGAACGGGTACTCGCTGATCACGTCGCTGTTGAGGACGAAGAAAGGCTCGCCGGATCCGTCGTCGAGCTTGTCGCGGGCAAGGGCCAGCGGTCCGGCGGTTCCCATTGGCTCTGTCTCCTGGGAGCAGGTGATCTTGATGCCAAGCTTGCTCTCGAAGTCCTTGAGAAAGTTGAGCATGACCTGCAATTTGTTTGACCAAAGCAAGACAGTGAGATCTGGGATTCTGACGAAACAACAGTTTTCCAAGGCGTGGCATGCCATGCTCAATTACCTCTGGCTGGTAATTGATGGCCAGGACAACTTCTGTGACTCCCACATCTTTCAGAGCCTCGATCTGGTGACAAAAGCATTACAAAAAAATTAATCACAAGATACTCTGAACAATTAAAGTCCCAGCCAAGAAAAGGATGCTTGAAACGGATGTAAATTTGCTCAGGACAGGGAAATGGTCAATTATTGGTTACCCCTTTTAAATTCATATATATATATTTTGTTTCTATCATCACAATTATTTGAGACACACATGGTGATGCATACAGGTCCATGACTGTTGCTGTGCGGAATCTATTCACATGGACCACCTAGCAAATCATGGACTGATGAGGCCTTGCATAAACAAACTCACACAGGTTGTCACAGCACAGGTAACTAATCAGGATACCCCTTTTAGATTCATATATTGAATAAGAAACAAATTATGGAGTATTTGTGCTGACCTGATGCAGGATCATGGGCTTGTTGGCGAAATCGACGAGCGGCTTCGGCACGCTGAGCGTCAGCGGCCGCAGGCGAGTGCCGAATCCTCCCACAAGAATGAGGGCCTTCATGGTCGCAGTCCTCCTAGCTCAACCCTGTGAAACTGCAGCAAGCAACCGAAGAAGAAACGAATGAGATGATCTGATCCAGACTCTGTGGTCACAGAGGGTCGGGGTATACGGTTCAGACTTCAGAACAAGACACTAAAACCTCCTCTCCGCCCTGCCGATGCAGACGCCATGTGTCCCAAGACAGCGACCATCTTTGCATCGGCCGGAGCACCGGGAGTTTGCATTGCACGGGCAATTCAAGGAGCAAGAACATACAGTAGTACACACGTATTACATAGGAAAGCAAAAAACGGCAGCGTTGATTTGAAGGCACTGGGATAGGAGGACAACCTGATCCTCTAGCGCTGGGGACAATCTGCGGCCTCGACCGGGAGACGGGATTTTTCTCAGATTTAAGGAAGCAGGCGATGGTCCTTTATGTGGTAGTGGGTGAGGAGGAAGACGGCAAAAATGCAGAGGTGGCATGGAGGGGCCGCTCCACTTTAAGCTTTAAGCCTAATCCGTCCATCTATCTATCAACCTATGTGCTGTTGAAAATGTGGTTCTCCGGACGCATGTATTGCTGTCGTGTTGCTTCCACCGGAAAACCAACCCAAATGCCGCTAGATCTCCAGCCAACAGCCCGGCACAAAACACAAAAAGAGCCGAGCTTTATTCTGTTGATCCTCCTTGGCTCCTTCTCCGCGACGCCTCTGTTTTTAGTTCCGGGGCCAAAATGATTTACAGGCTGGATCCATGATGAGATGGAGATGGAGATGGAGACAAGACGAGCAAAGACGACGAAAGTGGTGGTCTCGCAACCGTCGAGCCCGGGCACCTACCTACCCCGCACGTAAGATTACAAACAGAGGGGAAGACGAGAAGTGGTGATGAACAGCGGGGGGCTTGCTCGTTGCAGATCTGGCTCCTGCCGCGTCGAGGAACCAAACCGCCGCCTCTCTCGCCACCCACGACGCAATGACCAAGCCGAGGGAGAAGCAACTCTAATGGCGGAGGGAGGTAGACACATAGCATGGCGACACGAACAAAACATTCAAACGCGTAGAACAGAGCAGAAGCCACAGCAAGGGACGAGATCGATCAGCGTGGCGCTGCGTGCGTGCGTGCGTACCTCGACGCGAGGGCAGCCGGCGGAGCAGGAGACGGCGGCGCGCTCGAGTCGTCCTCCTCCGGGGCCGCGTCAACGGCGGGCGCCGAGGAGGAGAATTGAGGAGGATGGAGGGACAGGTCAGAGGGGGGAACGGGAAACCGTCGGCTGAGTCGCGGGATCGCTGCTTGCCAGGGACGCGGCGCTGGTTTTATACTGGTGGCTTCCTCGCTCTCTCCTCCCTCCGGCTGCTGCGTGTGATTGACGGTTTGACACTGTCTTCCGCCCTAATGAACCCCTGCAACCTTTTCCCCTCTTCTGTTTTACTATCTGCTTGCTGTATTCGTTTCTTTTGGCAATGATGAATTGCTGTCCCGGGCGGGCTAATCCCACCCGCCGACGCGTGATCCAACAACGGGACCGGCCGGCCGCCAGCTTATCCGCGGCGCGTGAATGGCCTGTGGGCGCCGGCATTATTACCTTCCCGTTTTACAGGGCAGAGTTTTTAAGTTTTTTTATATATAGGAAAAGATAGCTACTCCCTCCATTTCTAAAGGCCTGTTCGGCATCCCACCGCTCCACACTCCCGCTCCTGAAGCTTGCGGAGTTGAAGTTAAAAATTGCAGAAAGGGGAACAAGCGCTCCCTGGATCCTCGAATTTCACGGAGCAGGGTTGCCGAACAGGCCCTAAATATGAGACAGATTTTAATATGAATTAAATATGAAGTAAAATGAGTGAATTTAGACTCTGAAATACGTCGCCTATTAAAATCTCTAAAAAGACTTATATTTAGAAAGGGGGAATAGTCTTTACAATTGATCGGTGGCAGTGTTAACAGGAACTACATCAGGATCATGCAGTGTGCTTAGCCACAGATGTCTCCCATGAGGGAAGGAGACACTGTATGTGCTTCAACATTCGAAGCACCTAGTTCATGGTATAGATTACAACTAGAAAATAATTTAACAGTTTTTCTAATTTTTCTAACAATGTCGGCGTAGTTTTCTCCTTTCTCATAATGGATATGGCCAACGACTTGTTTGCAGTCTGACGCAATGTATACATTTTGTGGTCCCATGCCCCGCACAAGTGATAGGCCTTCCCTGCAGGCCATTGCTTCCAGTGACGCCGGATCCACAAGCCCTTGTACGACTAGAACCGATGATCCCAAGTAGCCTTCATCTCTATCCCGTCATGTCGATGTCGTCCTCCCCAAATTAGGGCTAGGAGAAACTCCAGGGAAGGTGGAGTGGTTTGTGATGGGCGTTGCTTCATGACTGTTTTTAGTTAGTACAATTATTATTCCCTCTGTTCATTCTGGTAGGTGTTTCCACATGGCGTCCCTAATGTCATGTTTGCTTGAGCTTCAGGAAGCAGGTTTAGTTTTGCCACTGAATCTGAATCAACAATTTTTCTAATTTTTCTAACAATGTCGGCGTAGTTTTCTCCTTTCTCATAATGGATATGGCCAACGACTTGTTTGCAGTCTGACGCAATGTATACATTTTATGGTCCCATGCCCCGCACAAGTGATAGGCCTTCCCTTCAGGCCATTGCTTCCAGTGACGCCGGATCCACAAGCCCTTGTACGACTAGAACCGATGATCCCAAGTAGCCTTCATCTCTATCCCGTCATGTCGATGTCGTCGTCCCCAAATTAGGGCTAGGAGAAACTCCAGGGAAGGTGGAGTGGTTTGTGATGGGCGTTGCTTCATGACTGTTTTTAGTTAGTACAATTATTATTCCCTCTGTTCTTTCTGGTAGGTGTTTCCACATGGCGTCCCTAATGTCATGTTTGCTTGAGCTTCAGGAAGCAGGTTTAGTTTTGCCACTGAATCTGAATCGCAAATCCAAAACAAACAGCTATTTCGAATCAACTTTTGTTAGTGAAACTGAATATGGAATCTGAAACAAACGGTTACTTCGAATCAGCTTCGCCAGTGAACTTGAATCTGGATTCTGGCCATTTTTAGTGTAATTTGCTGAAGCATCTCAAAGTGTACTTCGGTGGTGAAGCTGGTTTTGTGAATCTGCAAGTGATTCGAATCCAATCAAATGTAAAACAAACATGGTCTTATATCACTATGAATTAGCTTTGCCACGGAAGCAAATTCACAAGTGATTCGAATCTCACCAAAGCTTAAACAAACAAGGCCTAAGGCAACTCCAACGCGGATAGCCGTCCGAACATTTTGTGCCATCCAAGGACATCTTAAAAAAAATGTTCGGACGGTCCAGATTGTGCCATCTAAGGGCGTCATAGAAAATGTTCGGACCGGTCTAGATATCTGAAATTTTATAAACATGAACCAAAAGTACAGGTGGTTTTGTCGGTGTCTGAACCTCTGCCACATAGGCCTTCGACAGGCTCGGCCCACCCAAAAACCACACCCAGAGATTTCTTTTCCCACTCCGTCCCTTCCCATGTGCTTTGTATTTGCTCTCTCGGTGATCGACGCTCCCACTGTACCACCTCAGCAGTCGCACAAGCCTTGCTGGACCTCTGCCACTCAACCCAGGCGCCTTCTCGCATTGGAGTTCCACACTGGATACTGCCGCAACCAAGGCATCCTCCGTGCCCCTACCGATGTCGTCCATGGCGGACACCATGCTCGGCAAATGTTCGGTCAAATGTCATTGCCATCTTCTTTGATGTTATTGTTGTTTACTTTGAAGCAACATGATGGATTCAGACAAGGAGTACTTGTATAGAGAATTCATGGAGTCATCTTCGTTGGTTGTGGAGTAATATGAGAATGACATGGCGATGATGGGGGTCGTTCTTGCAGATGCGGTGCGTGCGGAGGAGGATGTTCTCAACTACGAGGGTCCAACAAAGGGACACCAAGTGTTGAACCGGAATAGGACGTGTGGTCTATGATTTTTCTCGATGACTACTTTGCCCCCGATGTGATATTTGAGATGTAGTTCCGTCATCGTTTTCGGATGCAACAACAGGTGTTCAAGCGCATCTACCATACTGTTTGGGCCTATGATGATTACTTCATTCTAAAGAAGGATGCCATTGGAACCATTGGGTTTTCTGGTTACAAGAAGTGCGGTATTACAATGATGACGCTTTCCTATAGCACGACCATAAATTCGTGGGATGAGTACCTCCAGATTCCTGAAAAGCACATGCTTTGAAGCAATGGTCAAATTTGTTGTTGCGGTGATGAAAGTGTTTGGACGGGGTACTTGAGAGAACCCACTTCCAAAGACACAAAAAGGCTCATGGAAATTGGAGAAGCAAAAGGGTTTTCAAGTATGCTCGGATCCCTGGATTGCATGCAGTGAAAATGAAAGAACTGAACATATGTCCAACAATAGCAATACAAAGGTCAATGCAAAAAGGCCACCATCATTCTTGAATGGGTTGCATCACATGATCTCCTTTTTTGGCATATTTGGGTCTCACAATGACATCAATGTGTTGCATCAATCTCTATCGTTTGCAAGTGTGTGCGGCCGAAGCTCTTGAGTGCAACTATACCATCAACGATCATGACTACAACATGAGGTAGTATCTTTGTGGTGGTATCTGTGACTTTACTCAAGACCATCTATGAACTAAGGGGTAACAGAAGATATCGCTTTTCCCAAAGACAAAAATCTTCTAGAAAGGATGTCGAGAGGGCATTTACAGTGCTCCAAGCCCATTTTGCAGTTGTTCATGGATCTGCTAAACTATGGAATCCAGAGAAATTGTGGGAGGTGATGACAACTTGTGTGATCATACAAACAATTTTTGTGCAGGATGAGGGTGATGGGTTTCGCCATCGTCTGTGTTTGAAAACATGGGTGATCCTATCCATCTTCTAAATGCATCATCAAATTTAACATCGAGGAACTCATGAGCAGCTGCATAATGATCTGGTTGAGCATCTTTGGGCGTTTCATATGGACAATTAA